TTCTAAAGGTTGTGATTCTACTTGTTTTGATTAGACTCACTGTAGATATATCCTCTTGGTTTTCGATTCTTCTTGGATTTCTAGCTATTTCTTATTCCCAAATTAAAAATATTTCCTTGATCTTGACTTTCCCTGATCTAATCTTTCTCTCTTCAAGTCTCCCGTTCATTAGGTTTCTTTCAGTCAACATATCGATGGTCTCTCTGATCTTGCGTTTTCTTGTATTTTCACCATATTCAGCCAGTCTTTCCGTATATTTCATGTCCCGTGCATGCAATTTGTTCCGCCAGTTCGTATCTTTCCGTATCCATGCGTTGGCAGATTTTTTCGATATTCATTGTTTCGTATACTGAGTCTCGTTCCTATTTCACCAATACATTTCTGTTCACACTTGTCGTATTTGATGCTATGAACTCCCGAGCAGTCCATTTTCTCAACCTTCTCGTGTTGCTTCATCAGGCTGGTGAAGAATGTCACCTTATCCTTTACAACCACCTCGATATTCAATTTCATTAGTGACTATCGCAATTTTTTACTCATTTCATGAGAGGGCAGGCATATCCACTTTAGTCGTCCTTCCGATTCTTGATTTTATTCCTATAAAATTCAAGTTGAACTTATGACCTCTATATTTCTTTTTATCAATTCTCTGGGGTACTCGTTACTACGGCAAATCCAAGTCACTATCCGACTCGTCCAAGAATTCATTATCCGTTAGTTTTAAGCCTCTGATAACCAAATGCTCATTGTTCCGATCTTCCACGGTCAGACCTGAACTTTTCGTTCATACTATGCATCCTTTATAAGGTCTCTCTGACAATACGATCAAGTTGTCGAAATAAGATCAAACGACTTCTATAAAAAGTTTTGTCGCATTTTCTACTGCCTATTTGATGTCTGTTCTGGGATGTTATTATTTGCTCAGTCTAAGCCTTCTATATAAAAGCACAGCATTGGTTACTCGAAATTTCATCGTCTGGCTATTCAGCTACTCTTCGTATATTATCTCTCTTACACTAAAGTGAAGATTTTTTCAAGTTACACTTTGGCATCTCAACTATGAAGACTCATTTATATTCTATTTTACTAGTGACATAGCCAAAACGAGTTAACTTTGAGTTTAATACAATTTGACTTACGAGCGAGTTTCGTGATTTAATATCTCGCATAACATTCAACTATTTTATTGTCCCCATGCATGGCTAAATTAATGTCATCTGTGGATAACACTACGGGACAAGATCAGCAAGCTCGCTTACCAAACATTCACAAAATTAATACTCGGAATATCATAAATTAGACAACTTTTTTTAGCTCAAGTAAAATTTAACCTTGAACGACGCATAAGTTGGATTTGAGTGAATTTAGCTGTTGGCTCTGCAATTACTTTCTAGTAAATTGCGAAATAAATCCTGCTCTCGTCATTTCTCTGTTTTCCTTTTTATTTTTGCACAGCCTTCAAAAGGTGCCTGATTTATTTGTACAATTTTGCTCTTTAAATCCAAGTCACCGGAGCTTCCATTAATCTTTATTTGGATACTTCAATTTCACGTTTGGGAATATTTTCTATCCATTATTGACTCCATAGTCTCCGAATCAAAACAACATATATGTGAAATTATATGGAAATAAATGTGCAACGAATTGACCACTCATTGTGGCACTATCCGCCATGTTGGTGACTTGACCTTGTCCTCTCTATTCGCAATTCAGGACGGCTCTTTTCCACAGCATAATTGCTTCACTCGGGCCTCCTCTTCTGAGCCAACTTGGCGAGCCGTCATAAGACAAGCTTCCAAGTGATGCGCCTCAACATTCGTAAAGTTGCTGGCTCCGACTCGCTTGAGTTGGGTCTAGCACGGATGGGTTAGCGGTACAGACTAATCAACTTGGTTCAAAACAGTAAATTCACAACTGCACAGCTACGGGTTGGCGTGTTTCGATTGATCTCCTTCAAGAATATGCATACTAAATGATACAGTCCAAGTTTATTTCTCCACTTTTGCACCACATTTTCATTCTAATTTATTGTACAGCCTAGGAGTAACTGAAACAAACTGGCTGCGTCGTATGTAGAAAAGAGAAAAATAAGTCTTGCGGGACATTACTGCATCGCCTCCAGGGTTTGGGAATTTTAGTAAGAAATACTCATTAGACCACATATTGTTGTGTAACTGAAAATTAGATGGCTTTTAAATTATTTGAAGAGAAAGCTCGAATTCGAAACAAAATTTTCCCTTATTCTGTCTACTTGATGCACTTTGTCTCATCTGCACTTCAATTTGTTTTCGAGATCGTGTTGCTCCAAGATTTCATTTTACAGTCCTTTTTATTGTTGCTTATAGAGTTATTTTTCTAATAGCTCATACTTTATCTGCTTGCATCCATTCTCTATAGCTTAACCCTTCTTTAATCATCCTTTTTCATCCTTTTTTGCTTATCGCCTTAATTGGCGGGCTTTAGCACACATGTCTCCTCTATCTCTCACTCTTTTATGATTTAATCTCTTAGCTGTAGCTTCTACTGCCTTGTCACTCAAAATGTCATAAATAGATTTATGTGCCACAGAATAGAAACATAGATTGATCATGTCCTATGTCATAGTCAGCATTTGTTGCGTGTAAAGGACCATATTTCTTATTCCTAAAATTTGCTCATAAATAATATTGCCAATTCGTTATATTGGATCTAAATAAACAGAAAGGCTGTATGTAACTTACTTTTGATGTGAATTTTTCTCCTAAACATCGAGATTAGCCCACAGATTCCCGAATCTTCTACATTGAATTACTTTACTTAAGAGTTTTGCATAACCTACTAGCTGACGAATTCATCCCTACAGTCATAATCCGGCTTCGTATTTTCAAAATATCTTTCGTATTCTAATATTTTTTCTATACTTTTTGGTCAAGTAAACGTTAGTGGTTTTTCCCTATTTACTCTTCTCCTTCCGTTATCTTCGAACTAATTCGTTTTTTTATCACACCTCATTAGTTTTGGGCGAAATTCTACCTGATTTGTGTGTTGATCTTCCTCGCCTGCATCGCAATCAACCAACTTCACGAGCGAGTGGGCTTACTTTCCTCATTGGCAGATTTTCTCCTCTCCCTATCTCCATTCCTTTTACCGCTTCTCCTGTCTCGTCTTATTCGTCCCGTCAGCTTCTGTCAGAAATCAGTCGTAGAGTCAGAAGTCCTTGGAACTGCCCTCAAAAAGCCCAAATTCATACAGGAAGTTGAGGTGACTCCACTGACAGACGACACTCCTGGAGATTCTCCGACCGATGCTTTATCAGAGAAGGAAGACCAACTGTTTCAAACAATAAAGTCGAGCCCGATTCATAAGGCCAGCTCGGCCGACGATAAATATGCCTCGGAGCTGAAGACTTCCGCCGCGGAGCTAGAGCTAGAAATGGTCAACTGCCATCGTAATTTCAATGTCTCTCTCACCATCCGCACCCTATCCATATACACTCTGGTATGCTCTTTCGGCTGCGTGCCTGCTATTCATTGGGTTTGCATCAACCACTTGCGAGATACCGCCACGGTTCAGGTAGGCTTCAATCAAATCATTTTTCTATTTCTCATGCCATCTTGGTAACCACGTTGTGATTTCAACCTTTAAAGGGCCTGATTTGTTTGTAAGTATGCTTTCGAGTCGACCGGCAAATCGGATATCTGCGAGATGCGTTCGCTCTATTTCGTTTAAGTTGATGAAGAACTGGTTTCCAAAAGGTATTCTACTCTAGAGTGGATTATAGTATGATCCCTCCAAGGTTTCATATATACACATTAACCACTGCGACACATTGCCACGAGTGGCCTTCGGTCACAGGGCAGATGTGAATTTCAAGGAATATCAGGCATTTTCCATATCACATTCTGTGTGTGCTATGACAATCGACGACATTACTTTTTTCGTGAGTAGGTTTTCGAGACTACCAGTAAATCAGATTTATGAGTTGGATTCACCCAATATTTGATTCACTAGTAGTCTTAAAAGCCTACTGACTCTTAATTGGTAGACTGGGGTCGATTCTGGGTGGTTTCCTTATTAGCTAAAATGACCCAATTGTATACAATTAGCATATAATGAAGTTTAATGTAAAAGTGACAGCTAAGAGGGATGTAGAAAAGCAAAGGAAAATTGCAAATTGTCTTATCTGACAAAGTATTGTCTCTCTTTCTCCTGTCTTTCCCTATTTACTTCATTAACGTTTCATAGATATCATTTCGCTTTGACAAAGTTAACATTAAGGTACAATATGGATTTGCGAGTCCTAATTTCCTGATTTATGCATCCACAGTTGATGGTTGCTTTATTTTTTGTTAGAAGGACCTTCATTTCGTATGAAAGTGCATGAAGAAGAGATTCGTTGGTCGAT